TCTATTCTCATGTTTTTTTTTAATAAAAGAGGATTAATACAACGTCCTCTATTTTTAATTAAACAAACCTAGCTAGGGTGGTTGAGCTATATGAATTAAATAATTTGATTCACAATAGTTGTAGCAACTAATTAACCTAGGCTAGTATACACCATAGGTAAAACCCAATATGGCATACAAGTTCTTATCACTCTACACCATAAATGATTTTTAGCAGCAATTAATTAGCGTGCATTAATAACTTAATTGCAGCGAAGTCTGCTTTTTAGAGGCAATTATCACTTTTTTGTAAATGTTCCTAAAGCTTATAGCGATATTAGACCTAATGACAATTAACTAATGTCAATAAAGATTTTAACATTTTTTGTTAATGTGTATATTTATTACTGTTAATAAAGAAATTATGAGTGTGGTAATGGTAAACATGGTCACGTTGCTATATCTCTATATATGAAGTACACACACATCGAACCTAATTGGGTTGAACTTGGCTAAAATACGATCGTTGCTTATATGGTACTGTCAAAATAGGCCGGGCCTAACTCACACACTAAAAGTTAGTACGTAAAAGTTAGTTCAATCGAAGGAAGATTGTCAAGCCTCGTAAGGAGCTCAGGTTTCTCGTACGTCTAGTGCGTGCACATTCATGAGCAAGGGGTATTTAATTTCCTCCCCCATAATTGTCCGAGATGATGGAACCCACATTGGTTCGGGTCTAGCTCTTATACCATGTCAGAATAGGTCTTAACGTTTAACTCACACTCCAAAAGTTAGCTTAAATAAAAAAGAACATTGTCCAAACCTTATAAGAAGCCCGAAGTTCTCGTACTTTATCGACGTATAGAATTCATTTCATTCCTCAAGTACCTAATAATTAATTAAAGTGTGGCCAAGAATGATGATTTTTCATCTATATATGTAGATGAGTATGACCATTTCAACTGTTTTCCATAACTTCATATTAATAAAAAAACAAATGTGACGCCAAGGGAATTTGTTTATCTATATATTTTCTGTTCAATGTCTAGATATGTTTTGTGTGTGTGAGAGAGATCGATACATGTACTCAAATATTTTCATCATATATATATATGCAATGTCAACAGCATCTAACAAGTTATTGATCTTGTCTTTATTGGTCTAATTTAAGGGTCTTTCGGAAACATCTTTACCTCTATCAGGTAGTAATAACGTTTGCGACTCTGCATACATTCTACCTTCTTCAGACCTCATTTGTGAGATTTCACTGAATACGTTATTGATCTTACGTTTATTCGGAAACATCTCTACCTCTATCAGGTAATAGTAACGTCTGCTATTCTGCATACATTCTACCTTCTTCAGACCTTATTTGTGGGATTTCACTGAATACATTATTATTTTCAGTTTAATTATAGAATAATATGTTATGTTTCCCCTTCTATTTCGAAACTTCTCGTGACATGATGACCGGAAGATATGGTGGCTTTCATGCAAAAACCAAATATAAGATCTAAAAATGGAAACATGACGTATAATTATATTTTAATGGTAATTATGGGATCTTATATTAAATAGTTTGATCCATCAATGCATGTTACCGAGGTCCACCTTAAATTAGACATTTGGAATTACTCCTGCCGTGGATTCGTGTCGGGAAGTCTCACATTGGGGTAAAGTGTTCTCTAACAAAGGCGACTCCGTACCCAAAGAGGCTCAAACCCGAGACCTCTTGATTATTAAGGATTAAGGAGTACTTACCACTCCACCACAACCCTTTTTAAAAAACTTTCTAGAGTAAATATTTAAAAATATTAGTCATTAGATATAAAAAAACATTTTATGAAAAATATTTTCCGCGGCCAAAAGCCCAAAAACACACCTTCAGATATGAATAACTTTAAGGTTATAGATAGAAAACCATATCCCTTGCTGAAACTAGCTGGTAAAAGAAGCTAGTGCATGCATTTAGAAGATTTAAGAATGTATTAAGATTAATCATTAGTTGACATTACTAATTAGCAAGTGTCAATTAGAGCTAATTATGGGAGAAAATTAATTATTCAAATAATTAAATGAGGAAGCTATACACACATAGCTTCACGTGGCTAGTGTCCTTCACCTACTATATGTTTTACATAATATATAAACGTGTTCTTTAGTTTATGTCAGATAACATTGATTTCTTCGTATTTTGAGTGTGTATATGCAAACACTTAAACTTTGTATAAAATTAAATAAATTGACACATACATGTGTACTACACAACATAGTACATATAGAATATCAATTGCCACATAAAACACATATTTTATTTGTTTAACTTTATATAAATTTAAGTGTGTACTACTTGCACTCAAATTAATTTAAAGGGCATAAATATCATAGATGTCATTTTATTATGTAAATACAATTTAATTTATATACACCTAGTTTAGGGTGGGGGGAGGTCTAGAGATTAGAGTGGTCTTTGTTGGTATATATTTTCTTAGATCCAAAATAAATGAAATTTTAAGATGTGATACATTCCTTAAAAACAAATCAATCAATAACATTAATTTAAAAGAGTTTATCAATATCATCCTTTTATTTATTTCCAAACTCTTTTTAAAGCAAAAGATAGTTAAATTATCTATTAAAAAGAAAAATAATGTTAAAAAAATTATTTATTTACACTATAAAAAGTGTCAGAAATTTATTTATTTTAGACAGGAAGGAGTATATATATCAAAATGACAAGGAGATAATAAGATAATATGGACTTGACCATCAAAGAATATGATGCAGTGGATGTAACTATTCCTTTTCTATTCAGAAATCTCGAGTTTGAGTTCTGAATACGAAAAAACTCTTGAGAGAGAGTTTTTTCTTAATTAGGGTCCTTCAAAAATAGTCAAACTGCATGCGGTGGATATAATTACTCATTTCCTAATCAGAAATCTTGAATTTGAGCTCTGGATACGAAAAAACTCTTGAGAGGGCGTTTTTTTCTTAATTAGAGTCCTCAAAAATAGTCAAACTCAGATATCGAACGACAAGCGAAAAAAAGGGTAACATGGGCTTGCGTGCTGTATACTGACAGAAGAGGTCCCAAAGTTGGCAGTTTAACAAGGGCAAATTTTCCTATTAGCCACTTGACTAGTTTGGGAGACACATGTAGAAGGACAACAATGTGTATAGTGTAAAAGAAGATTTTATATTATCAAATTATCTAAAAATAATAATTAATAAATGTAATTAATGACTTAAAAAGGTCATGACATAATATAATACATTTATAGTGTTAAATTATTTGTCAATGTGTATAAGTTAAATTGATCTTTACGATAATGGTATAATTTTTTATATTGAATTAAATTATATTTACAAGTAAATCTTTATGATATGCATTAGTTAGTTAGTTAATTAAAATGGTAACGAATAAGCTATGACAAGTTAAACTATATTATCGGTTTAAAATAGTTTTACACTATAGCTTAAATTTATTTAAATAAGGAATAATTAATAATTACAAATAATAGAATGTACAATTGAAGGTTCAAATATACCTCTATTGTTTGTTTCTTATATTTATCCTCAATCTACTTTTCGGTCTATAAAAATTTTTATCGTTATTTTTTGTCTAAAATATGTCTTATTATCACTAATGATTTCCCACCGTGAAAAGATAATTACTCTTTTTGTCCCAATTTATGTGATACTATTCATTTTTTAAGAGTCAAACAGTTTAAATTTGACCGAAAATTTGCGCACGGAATCTTCATTTTTTGTGAAATGAAATTTATATATTTGTAAACTACATAAAAAGTACTATAAGTCACAATAATTGACAATTCAAAATAATCAAAAGATATATAAAAAAATTACAGTCAAAGATAGACTTGTTTGAATCTCAAAATCTGAAAAATGTCACATAAATTGAAACGAAGGGAGTATATTATAAAAGTCACATAGGGGTATATTTGAAACTTTTCAATTTTTTAGTGACATATTGAATGTTTTAAATTGTTTAGGGGTATACTTAAAGTTATTGAAGAGGGTATTTATAAAATTAATTTAATAGTTTGAAAATAAAGAATCTATTATTTGTGTGCAAATCTCCTTTGTGGCAAATGTCAGAGCCAATCTTGACATTTGTTAGAAGATGCCTAACTGTATGAACGCGATTAACGATACATGATTTTCATGAAAAGAAAGATAAAAACATAGAATAAATGTAAGACAAAAGCTAACACTTCACGTTTCACGTTGAAGTTTGATATCACTCGTTTGGTTACGAAATAAGTTATTTTGAAATTGTTATTTCAAGATTATCGTTTAGTTTGAAGACAAGTTATGATATGATTAGTTATCATGATATTATTTTTTAATGTGTTGATTTGTTATATTAAAGATAATATGAATTGTATATATAATTTTTAAGGATAAATTATTTAATTTGTATATAAAATAACCTTCATAAGCATAAAAGATGTGAACAGTGATGTATGAAAAGTCATTTTTTTTTTGGGGGGAGGGGGGGGGTTATTTTGTCATTCTAACTATTTTATCTCGAAATAAGTTATCTCGAAAGTATTATTCCACCCAAAGGCAGGGATAACTTATCTCGATACGTTCTTATCATTTATCATGAAGTTATTCCAAACTTTATAATCAAACTTAGGAGTTAGGATTATCTCCTTTTATCCATCACATCAAATGTGTCCTTAATGTGGGATAAATATAACAAACTACAATCCCAGGATAACTAATTCTTGAAATAAGTTATTCCACGAGTTTATTCCAACCAAACAAGGAGTGAAGTACTCATCCTAAAATTAATCTGAATCAATTATTCCTTATCCCTTTTACCAAACGAACCACCAACCTAAAACACCCCACCCCACCCCTTATTATCTTTTATCAATTCCTCTCTTAATAATATTTTCTAAGTTTCTATTTAAAAAGAACAATAGCCCACAACATTCTCCCATGCACTTGCCTTCTTCACCTCCAACACTTGTTCCTTGGTGTTTTTTTTCATATGGTTCTCTTCTCTCTTTGCCCATAACTTGTCTCTCAAATAGTTATCATCCTCTTCTCTTTTTAAACTCCCCACAACACACACACATATTCATTCAAACAACACATTCTATTACTATATATAACTTCTATCTTGACACCTTAATTAACACAACTTCTTGCCTTCTTAACACAATCTAATGTCAAATCGAAGAACACGCGGTTCGAGACAATCATCAGGATCTTCTAGAATAAGTGATGATCAAATTGCTGATCTCGTATCAAAGTTACAATTACTTATCCCTGAAAGCCGCAGTACTAGGAGATCCGATAAGGTACCATTTTTTCAAGTTTAAGTTATATATACTGATAGTTCGAATTCCTTATATATAAACATGTTGAATTGTACTTATTGTGTTACAATGTCACATTTTGTAAATGTTAATTTGGTTACATTTTGTTTGTTCTCTTCTTTTACTTACTATAAACTATATATGTTGTGTTTGTACAAATGAATGAATTATATTTTCATGAAGCCATTCATATTTTTGTGTGGCCTTCATTATCTATTTAGGGATAAGTTTAATTTGAAAGTCATATTCTCATGCCCACTAGGCCATATTGCAAGCTCCCTCATTTAATATTTTGTGTTGCTTAAGCATGTGGTGTAGGACTCTTTGTCACTTCAACATTTCTTGGCCTAGTCTCACATTTAAATATGCATTATATTTACAAACATTTGATCTTATGTTAATTACATTAAAAAAATAATTCTCATAGTTATTGTTCTGTTACTATCTCTTATTTCTTGTACTTCTGTTACTTTTTTTTTCTTAGACTTCTTTTTCTATGAGTCAATGGTCTATCGAAAATAGTTTCTCTATCTCTAAGGTGGGGGTAAGGTCTACGATCAGGGGTGGAGCCAGCTTAGTGTCGGGGTTCATTCGAACCTCCTTCGGCAGAAAATTGTATCATTTAATTTATACATGGTTCAAATTATTTTTTATGTGTATATAGTAGTTGTTGATACCCCTTCCGCTAGTTCATGTTTTTACTTATTCAAAATTTGAATCCCTTAGTAAGAATTCTGGCTCTGCCACTGTCTACGACTCTTCGTACATTCTACCTTCATCAGAACTCATCGGTAAAGCAATTTCTAAATTTTTTTTAATCATTTTTTTGAAAAATAGGTTGAAGCTTCCAAAGTGTTGCAAGAAACATGTAATTACATAAGAAGTTTACACAGAGAAGTAGAAGACTTAAGTGATAGATTATCAGTGCTTTTGGAATCTACTGAGAATGACAGTGCTCAAGCTGCTATTATTAGAAGCCTATTTATGTGACAATTATTGCCATTATTAGAAGATTACTAATTATGTAACAATAATTTCAATTTACTAGGTTCTATTTTCATTTGTAATTTACTTTAATTATCATCTTGTTATTATTTTTCTTCTTCTAAGATGCAATAGTACTTATAGTTCATTAATTAATTAAGACCTTATATTTGTATTGAGAAATTTACTAAAGATTTATAAATTGACTATGGATTCAGTTATTTTTATAGTCAATCCTCTTTATAGTGACTATGTTCGTCTGAAAGTTTCACGATTGCTATAATGAAGTTTTTTTTTATATATATGTATGCCGACATTTAATGTTTAGATCGTATTTAACTGCTATAAACAAAAGTATGCAAAATTATTTTTTCTTGTACTTTTTATGTTGTAAACGAAAAAAAGTATTACTTAACCAATTTAATGAAAATAATATAGTATGAATATTATAAAAAAAAAAATAAAAAAAAAAATAAAAAAAAAAATATATATATATATATATTAGTCGTCTTTCCTAGTGAAGTTATGATCATAACTATTGTAAATAATTTAAATACAATTTTTCTTTTTTAACTTTTAGATACTCATACTTAAAAGTTATTATGTGCATAACATTTTTATATATAATATTATTTCTTGCAAAATATTATTACACAATATATTTTAGTATAGTTGTTATAGAGGACTAGTTTTACAAAAGGTGTATTAGTATATCATGAATATTGTTATTGTTGTTGGAGATATAATGTTATTATACAGAAGTAAAATAAAGGGAAAAATGTTTGAAAAATACTCCAACTTTGACCGAAATTGTTATTACGATATCAAACTTTATGGAGGACGTTTTACCCCCTGCACTATTTAATTGTGTATTTTAAAGGTATATATGTGCCCACGTGGACACATTACTATCTAAAATGATGAAATATTTATAATGTACACGTAAGCATATATATACATTTAAAACACACTATTAAATAGTACATGGGGATAAAAGGTCCTTTCCAAAGTTTGATATCGTAACAGCAATTTCGACCAAAGTTAAAGTATTTTTCAGACCCTTTTCCCTAAAATAAAACATAAAAATCGATTAGGAAGAAAATCAGGTCTTATATAGTGAAATGCCATTATAAGGAGATTTAAATACAATAACTTGAGATTATGATAAGAAAGAATAAAATTCAAATCCTGAATTTGACGGAGAAGGTCCCCCCCTCCCCCTCCCTAGATTGACTAGCATCAGCTATGAAATCTTTTTCCTACATAGATTTGGCAATTTTGGATATACAGTAGAATTATTGAGTATGTTTTAAATTTCAAGAGTCAAATATATTTTTCTTTTATCGTAATTTTCTTTATATGTTTTAAAAATTTTACGTACAAAATATGTTGATTTTGTGTCAAACATTTAAAAATTCAATGTTTAAATTTATGATCAAAATTAAAAAAATTAACTCAATTCTGAACAATACCACATAAATTGAGATACATTTATAATTGTGTTATTTTCTCTCATATTTTAGCGCCTAAAATTACACATCAAAGGTGGCCCAGGTTGTACATGTTTTCTATGTGATGTCTTTTGACTAACAAGTAGAGATATTTATGACTTACTTTAATTATAGTCATTAGAAGAGTTTTGGTGATAGATTTTATTTTTATTTTTAAAAAAAAACAAGATATTCTATTCTTAAGTTTCATCATTTTAACTATTTCTTGAAACTCATAAGCATTTTTCTATATATTAGACTCCTTTCATTCTAATTTATTTGTTTTGAAACGTGTCACGTAAATTAGGACGAAGACACTAGTCCCAAAGCATGTCCTTGGTGGTGGACCATTTCGTAGCATGACAAATTAGGGGTTTCATAAAGGTTCATGTGCTGCAGCTTGGCTAAACATGGCTGTGGACCATTCAATAGAGAAATGCACATGATTTTATTACATTTCAATATTCTTTTTATTTTGGGGACTCTCAAGATAATTTAATTATAAGATATTAATATATCACCCAAAAATCAAATTGCAAATTTGTAGCTCATGAAAGGGATAGTTTCAAATATATATATATATATAAAGTAATTAGTTTATAACAAATAAAGTCATGTTTTTATTTATAAAAAGATTAGTCAATACTATCTATGCAATATAGCTTGTCAGAAGTCGTAGAAAGTATACACTGACCAATATAATATAACTTACATATATATGAACTATACACTGGCTATACATTATGATACATGCAAAAAGTTAAATATAGTCAATACCACTAAAAATATTCATTCTAGAGCCCCAAATGGGATCAGACAACAAGAAAAATGAGCCATATTCAAAGGCCCTAAATGAATATGGCACTTTGAACACCAATAACAGCAGGAACACCCTTTGGTGACAACCAGATCTATACCTCCACGAGGTAGTAGTAAGGTCTGTGTACATTCTACCCTCCGCTGACCCCACTTAGTGGGATTTCACGGGGTATGTTGTTGTTGAAGCAATTTCTCCATGCTTGGTTAAAACATCAAAATAATTTGTAGACACTTCTCAAAACACCAGAAAACTAATTATGTCAAACCACAGCGGGAAGGGGAACAGAGAGAGTTACAAGGTTGAAAATTAAACCCTCACCAACAAGGAAAAGTTCGGACTACTAAGATTCCCCTGATACAGCTACCTTCAAGAGCAACGATAGTATATCTTACAAGTGTGAATAAGGTCCAACTCTGGTAGCTGAAGTAACTACCTTTTTTTTTAATGGAAGAAGCAGAAGGGGTTAATGAGCGCTGCAGTAACGAGCCTTAAGAAATATGAGCAGAGCATTCCTTCCGCCGGCCTTTATAGGAGTAGGAGAGTGTGGTGAGATAGATAGACGTCCAATCATGCAGCAGCTAGTTGCTCAGCCTTAGTCTTGGGCTGATCTCAGATTTCAATCAGCCCATTCGTACTTCGATCCAATTAATCGATCGATCAAGAGGCAAATCTCTTTTGTTTGGGCCGGTAGCTAAAAGAAAGTCCTTTTAAATTGATAGATTTTCCATTTCATGTTCAATGGTATGCCTAAGCCAAGAAAGTACAAACGAAGTAAGAAATTTAACAGAAACATATTCAGGCTCCAAACATGCTAGGTACCAAAACAAATACCCAAGGAGCAAGTATCAAACGAAACCATTTAACGAGGACTCAAAATAAGACTAGCATTCCTTGAGACTCAAGAGGTTACCAGACAAGCAATTAAAATGCCATTTTAGGGTTGGAGCATTATCTACTTCAGAAGAGCAGCTTGTTACCTGAAATTTTCATCTTCAACTTGTTTTGCCCTGATCAACGGCCTTCAAAGTAGAAATGTCCCAAAAAGATATGGACCACCTTAAGTGGAGTACAAGCATGAAAAATCAAATGTTCTAGGCAAGAATAGGCGTTGTCCAGGATACTCCATTCTAAAGTAGTATTTTCTTATTTCAAGAATGTCTTGAAGGAAATTACATATATATGACATAGTTCGAACTCTAAGATTAGGAAGCATGAAGTATGTATACACAAAGTGTTGGATACTGCTAACTTCACAAGATCTAAACTAGAGGCAGAGCTACAGCTTTGCCTATGGGTTTGGTAGAACCCAATAGCTTAGACTAAAACCGTGTAGTTGCATTTAAAATCCACTTAATATGTATAAATAACTTGTCAAGCACCAACTAAGCTGTGTTTTCTACAATGCAAAACTCATAAACTTAAAATGCTAGCTCCGTATCTGATTTAGAGGGAACTTGAGGTCATAGACTCACAACTCTGTACCACCACAAGAAACATTGGGCATTTCAACATTATTAAGGTTGTTGAACGTAGGGAACAAAGCCGTTATATGTCGAAAATCTACATCTCAGTTTCTAAACACTATCTTCTCTGAGATCAAGTTTGCATCATCTGCACAAGAAAAAGATGCAGAGCGTCACAACTTAGCCATCTTCGAAAGATACCTTGTAATATTAGTCAACCTCCAATTCTTTTAACTATCAAAGTTTCAAGGTTCAAAACATTGGCTAGGAATGGAAACATGTGTTCCTTAAAAACCCGAACATCAAGATAAGTCAAGGGTGAATTCCAAATCCAGTAATGCTGAAAAACTTGGAGCTTCTGAAAGATATTTGAAGACGAAGCAATTTGTGTGGCATTTTTTAGAAGACAATGCTAGCATCCCTGAATGTAGCTAGCTGCAAGTGACCATGATGAACTCCATTTTACGAATTTATCTTCTTGAGAATAAAGGGATAAACAGCAGGAACTCTCCTAGGTTTGCTTTGACTTTACCAGATTTTGAAACTTCGTGTTTTGTTTTCTAAAAATCCTCCAAAAATACAGAAAGCACAACTTAAAATGATAGGATAAATTCTTAACTAAGATGTATTACATCAGACCTGATACTAGAACAACTAAATGGGGTAACCTTCCACAAGTTTTTTTTTTATATCTCTAAAAGTATCCAACTTTGACCCTTAACCAAAGTTAATCAGGTAATTACATGTACCATTTCCCAAATTATTATCAGCAAGTTACTTCTTAGTTCTTACTAATATCTTTGGTCACCTTCATTGTCAGATACAGTTATCCTTCGTATACCTAACTTACAATAAAAGTTTATTCATTTTAGCTACTAATTCATCATTAAGACTTCACTGAGTCTAGTGATCTCATTAATAGCATCATGCAGAACAGCTAGTAACACACAAGACTAGCTACTAATTCATCATTAGGGGACTTCAATGAGTCTAGTAATCTCACTAATAGCATCATGTAGAATAGCTAGTAACACGCAAGATGAGCTACTAAATCATCATTAGGACTTCACTGAGTCTAGTGATATCATTAATAGCATCATATAGAATAGCTAGTAACACACTAATTCATCATTAGGACTTCAATGAGTCTTGTAATATCACTAATAGCATCATGTAGAATAGTTAGAAACACACAAGATTAGCAACTAATTCATCATTAGGACTTCACTGAGTCAAGTAATCTCACTAATAGCATCATGTAGAATAGCTAGTAACACTAAAGATTGTGCCGATCTGAATGTATTTTCTTGACCAAGTTAATCAGTACTATTTTCCAAATTATTACCAGTAAGTTTCTATTTTCCAAATTATTCTCAGTAAGTTTCTATTTTCCATATTATTATCAGTAAGTTACTATTTTCCAAATTATTATCTGTAGGCTGCTTGAAAACACCCGAACTTCATGCAAATTATTAGTTTCATTCCCAAACCATTGACAGCCTTAGATACACAACATCCACCAAAGCTGACTAACTGAATTCAAATACAGCTGATATGTCACATGCCATAGAAAATACTCAATCTTACTCTGGTAGGAGCATGAAACTCTTAATTAAAAATCAAACAAAAGTACTGAAAACACTCTCAGACTGAACAAAATTTATGCTTGTACTTCACTCATGTTGCAAAATCTAAGGTGCCTATACTATTATGTTTGGTCATTTTCATTGTCAAATAGGCTTTTTCTTCGTATATCTTATTTACAATAAAAGTTAGCTGCTAATTCATCATTAAGACTTAGCTACTATACTAATTCATCATTATTTCACTGAGTATAGTAATCTCACCATTAGCAAACACAAGATTGTGCCAGATCTGGATCTATTTATTTTGACCTAAGTCATCTTTCCCAGTCAAAGCATACCACCAGCTTAACATAACCTCCAGATTTGAACACCTTTTTACTAATACTTTCATTAATCCTATTTTAGGCATGACATCATCAAAACTCACCATTTCATAGCTCATAATGAAGCTCATAGTGGGTTTTGAAGATGTCATGTGAAAAACAGAAGAACAAAAATACAAAGGATTGGCAGATCTAGATGTTATCAACTGTTGGAATGCCTGGACTGGGGAAGAAGAATTTTGGTCAAGCTCCTTCAAACTGTGGAATGGTAACTAGGGTTTGCAAGGCATATATAAGGGTGAATCATAAATTTCTAGGACAAAAATATCCTTGGTATTAAAAAAAAATACATTTTTTATTTTTTCATAAGATACATTGTATTTATACAAGTAACTCTTCAACTTGCATGATTTTTATAATATCAACCCCTATATTTTGACTTTTATTAATTAACTAAAAAAATATATAAATGCCTCTACTTAGTAAATTACAAATTTGGTTGTATTTAAACCTTGAGACTGAAGATGAATTTGTTCATGTTTTTCTTCCCCAAGAAATTAAGATTTTACTGCGGAGATAAGAAAACATGAAAAATGTGTAACGATCTCAATGATCTGAGGCCATAATACAATGACCTGACTTAAGTAGGGAACGATAGAATTTCCACTATTATTGGTAGATCAATCTGGCCATGAGCACGGTGGGAACATGTTTCCCGATAAGCCATATTCAACATACTACCACCATATGTGGTGGTCCATATGTTCAACATGTGAGGCTCGCATGTTGGTTCACATGAACCACAACAATTTGACTTAGAAATGTATTTGTAAGGGTTTTTGTTTATCATAATGTCACCATATGTTGTCTGTATGTTCAACATGCAACGCACATGTTGTTCCACGTGTGGACTCATGAACCAAGTCAAAAATTAAGTAGCAACTGACTCAACATACGATATGAAATGTGAACCACATGTCCAACATACAGTCCACGTGTTGCTTCGTATATCAACACCTAAAGCTTTGAAAATTCCCAATTTTGACCCTTTTCCCTATTTTGTATATATACAATTTTTTTCGATAATTATTCGTGTGATTTTCATGTGTAATTCACGGTTAGCCCAATACCATCAAAATCCATTAATTGCAGCCCAAATTTCACTAGCTCCTAAAACTGAAATACCAGCCCAAAGAAAGCCCAATTTCTTTAACCTAGTACCCCTTTATAAAATATTTTTTTCCTTTTGCCCAATTATTGCGCCTCCACTGTTTCATATACAACCATTTTTGTTGAAAAGGAAAACTCAATTATCGGTGTTGAAGGATTGTTGTCCGTCTATATTGGGTAAGATATCTCTGCCCAAATTCAACTGCTAAAGAGTATATTTTTGGATTTTATTTTTTTACCTAATTCTGGTATACCAACAATTGAGATAACATCTAGGTTTGATGATCTTTTGATTAGCTAATTGTATAGTTATCACCTGTACACTTGCACAAAAATATTATTGAACCTTGATGTTATCTCAGTGTTGGCATGCATAAATTGGGTAAATTTATGATTGAATGTGTGTTTTGGTGTTGTACCAAATCCAGGCATGCCAATTATTGAGATGGCATCTCGGTCTGTTAGTTGCTGTGCAGTATGATTACTGTGGCAGGATCTGTGTGTTATGCAATAGTAAGTCATATTCTTTGCTTTCCTTGCCGCTTGTTTGGATAGTTGTTGTATATCCTTTCATAAGGTATAATATTGTATTCAGAGACGGATCTAGAATTTCTATAACACGGGTGCACTACTGAAACAAATTGAGAAGATTGAATGTATTAAGTGGGAATCGATTCTTGTTTCTTTGGGCAAATTAATATTAGATCAATTCTAGAAAGTACAACATAACATATCATTTGAGATCCTGCCAAGTGGGGGCTGAGGAGTGTAGAGTTTACAGAGACCGTACCACTACCTCGTTGAGTTGGAGGTAGACTTGTAGAAGTCTGAAAGACCTTTGGCTCAAATACATTAAAAGTATGTACATAAAATACCTAGGTTGGCCTAAACTAGACTATAATTACGTCCATATGTTCGCCCATGATTGTATTGTGTTGTTGATGAATACAACCTTTGGATGGCCCCCAATAGGGATGGCAATGGGGCAGGGCGGAGCGGTTGCAGCTTAAACCCGCTAAGATCTCAACCCGCCCCGCTCCGCCCCACATAACATATTTTGTTGTTTTCAACCCGCCCCGCCCACCCTGCAAAAACCCGCCCCATCGCACATATTTTGTAAAAAGCATTTCAAATAATAGGCTCAGTAAGTTTTCAACTTAAGAAATTAAAATTTTGGTTGTTGTTAATCGCTAAAATTAACATGTTATAACATTATTTTAACATTACAATGTTTTATAGCTCTTTTAGATATGTCAGCAACATTTTTTTTGGTAGATTTGAATTGGTTACATTTGATGTAATAACAAAATATTAAATGCAAGTAGTGAGATAATTTTTTCTTCTTTCTAGTTTCTTAACCATTCAAAACAGTTTACGCAAAGAAATTATTTTAATAAATAATGTTCTATCACTCTTATAACATGTAAGAAGTTAAAATTAAGTTTGAACCCACATGAAATCACATATACCCGCAACCCGCCCCACCCCACATTAATTTAAAAAGAACCCACTTCAACCCGCCTCGCACAACCTTAAACCCGCTCCGTCCCGCATAGCCTTAAACCCACCCCGCCCCGCTCCATTGCCATCCCTTCCCCCCAAGGCCTAGCTCGAGTGGCAAAAGGTGAAGGATTTGTGGCTTAGGTCTCAAGTTCAAGTCCCACACCACGCAATGCGAAATCTGGTATTTAAGTGGAGAAGGGTAGAGGGGCGGGCCCATTATCCACTGAGTTTAGAAGGTTGTGATTAGTCCAAACTCCAAAGGGTGGATCACAGATGGATTTCTTTCTCAGTTATCAAAAAAAAAAAATACAACCTTCGGATATAGTTAGAGTTGTTGTAAGAAATATAGAAGAATTAAATATGATAGTTAAATAATTAACACAAGAAAAGTGAGAAAAATTATAAGTTAAACATGAGATTACACCAAATAGTATCATTACGTAAATGGGATTTTTTGTTGTTGGATAACAATGGACTTAACGTTTATGATACTACAAAATTTATATAACAATCAAAACAAATATTGCGTTTGAAATAACAATATGGTATAACAAGTATGTTAACTATCATCCCAACAAGCTGTTTGTTTGGAATGTATGGATTCTTGAATCCAATAGTGCATTATCAATGTTGTGTAGGACTTGTTACTAACCATTGTTGAGATTACATAGGAAGTTTGTGTTTCTGGCACAAATAGTCTTTACGCTGAACAGTAAAGACTGAAAAATGTCAAGTGCCTTGGCTAATGGGCTGGCTGGAGCTGGTGGGGGCATAATTGCACAAATAATTACTTACCCCCTCCAAACTGTCAATACACGGCAGCAGACTGAGAGGGTCTCGAGAGAGGGCCGTGATTCTCGTGGCAGTGCCCTGTTTCAAATCTTACAGGTTGTTAGAAGCGAAGGCTTGCCAGGGCTTTACAGTGGCCTGAAGCCTTCTTTGCTTGGAACTGCCGTGTCACAGGGTGTCTACTACTATTTTTACCAGGTTTTTAAGAACAGGGCTGAGGCTATAGCAGCTGCAAATAAGAAAAGAGGCCGAGGGGATGGTTCTGTTGGGATGCTTTCTTGGCTCGTTGTGGCAGCTCTTGCAGGTTCAGTAAATGTATTGTTGACAAACCCTATATGGGTTCTAGTTACTCGTATGCAGACTCATACACAAGCAGAAAGGAAAATCGTGGAGGCAAAAAAGGAAACCCTATTAAAAGAAGCTTCTCAAAGTGTCTTGACAGCTTCTTCCTTGGAAGTACAACTCGCTGAACTTGATTCGTTGAAACCTCATCCTTACGGGACATTGCAAGCAGCACGAGAGGTTTATAATGAATCAGGAGTTACAGGATTCTGGAAAGGAGTCATCCCAGCATTGATCATGGTGTCTAATCCCTCGATTCAGTTCATGATTATTGAGAGTTTGTCGAAGCAGTTAAGGGCTAAACGTGCTGCAAAGAATAAAGACCAGCAGAATATAACTGCTTTGGAAGTTTTTGTAATCGGAGCCTTTGCTAAACTTGGAGCAACTGTCTGCACATATCCATTGTTGGTTGTGAAGTCAAGGCTTCAAGCAAAGCAGGAGATTAGTGGAAACGTCTCATTACGATATTCAGGTACAGTCGATGCTATTATTAAGATGATTCATCATGAAGGATTCAGATGCTTCTATCAGGGAATGCGCACAAAGATAGTGCAGAGCGTCTTTGCAGCCTCCGTACTTTTCATGGTGAAGGAAGAGCTCGTCAAAGTCTACGCCGTTTTGGCTAACAAGAGTAAGGTTAATGTATAGCTTGCAGTCATAAAGTGAACTATTTAATAAATCTTCTTGCTGCATAATTGCATATGATTGTACTGTATTCAAATTACAAAGTAATAATTGTAATATTCCCTAAAGAAAGCCATTGTAAGCTTGAAAGTGAAAAGTAACTCAGGTGAATGAAACTATTATTTGAGATAACTTTGTCCTTTTTGGTTATATTTTGATAAATAGTGCAGAAAGCCATTGTAAGCTTGAAAGTGAAAAGTAACTCAGGTGAATGAAACTATTATTTGAGATAACTTTGTCCTTTTTGGTTATATTTTGATAAATAGTGCATCTGTTGACTAAAATTGTGCTTCTGCTATACCAAAACTAAGGGGTTGTTTAGTTTAGAATAAGTTATTCTAGGATTAATTATTTTGGGACCTGGGTCATAAGTTATTCCATCATGTGTATGAGATAACTTATTTCATTAAAAATGGTGGACAAATAATCTTAGGGTTTTCTATTACTTCCAACCAAATGCAAGATAAAATAATCTTGTGTTTTATTACGCAATTATTATACTGTATTCCGCACACCAAACAGACTCTTAATAGTACTATTTAGTTTTGTGTCATGATATAAGTAATATTTTTGACTCAAAACTATTATTAGTTGAGTTAAAAAAATACTATTATTAGGAGAATAATGTCTTTAAAAATGTAAAAAACAAAATATTTACTTAAAAACGTCTTTGATTCGAGACTGTCTTGAATATTTTTGGATCAAATTATTAATGGATGACATTTTTAGTCAATTTCACGTAATCTGAATTATTCAGATTTCAAAACAGGTATAGAACACTGAGTTAGAAGTAAACAAAATAAATAAGGCGGAATGGTCTGATGGGCCCTTATAGTTGTATCAGATTGTAAAGTGGACCCTTCTACTTATGACTTTGTCAAGTGAATACTTAAACTTAACGAAACACAATACTTTAAACCTTTTTTCATTTGAACAGAGTGTGTGTAATGCAACCAAACACATGTAGAATCCAGCTCATTTTTTAATGCCACATCAGAAATTAAATATAAAAAAATAAATAATATTTTGTAAAAATATTATTGTTTCCTCTCTCGTTGCACCTTCTTTCTCATCCCTTAATCCCTTTCATTCTCATCTAGTCATCCCAGCCGCCGCCCCACCACCCCCAAATCCAAACCCGCCTCCCACTCCCACCATTTTCCATCTGCCTTAAGCATAAAACATACACCTTATGCCATAGCTTGAGAATTGGATGTTCTCGTTTGGCAAGTTTCTATAAAAGATGAAATTCCTCTTCTTGATCTAATGCTTGCAAAGCTATACATGAATTTCCCTTCCCCAAAACACTAGGAGATTCAAAAATCCTTAGAAATTTTTTGAGAATACATAAATCTCCGGCGACCAAAAAAAGCTTGCTTGAAGCAACTGTGGAGATTTTAGTAATGGCAGTGACAGTTTTCTTCCTAATCCCCGACAAAAAGCTAAAATCGAGTAAATGGACCAGCATCGAAATGATTCCTTGAGCTACTGCAATCAATACATTCTTGTCATCTTCGTGTAACAATCCAAGCTGCGAGTCCAACATCGAGTTATTTGACTCAGTCGTCTTGATCTGAAGTTGAGTTATTAGGTTCCTCAATTCAATCCATATAATCTTGTAATTTGAGCTTTTAATTTAGAGAGAATTTTTCAATTTAAACCTTCAAATTAAAAGCTCAAATTATGTAACCCATTTTAGATTTGAAGACAAATAAATCAGCCCAAAGAATCACTCAAACAAAAAAGTTCTTCTTTTCAATTTGTATGTTTGTTGTGGGATGTTTGAAGGATGAGTAATTTCTTTTAGAAATGAAGCAAGATTACAAAAGTAATGGTGGAAACAATGGAAACTCAACAATGGGATGACCTAATTTTTTTCTACAGAAAAAAAGAGAAGAAGAATGGGATATTTTTGTTTTTCCTGCTTTTAAATTATTTTTCTCCTCATAATAGGTGTATTTTTGATGAAAAGTATCAATATCACGCTCTTAATTTGCGTGTACCTCACAAATTTTTCCAACTCAACAATTTTATTGCCACTTATGTTTGGTCCACAGTCAGAGGTGTTTAAAATATTGTGTTTCATTGATTATAAGTGTTCACTTGACAACGTCATAGGTAAAATAGTCCACTTTACAATCCAATACATAAGGGCACATCAGACCATTCATTGAACTCACAACTCATAAACATCCCTAAAAACATGAAATTAAATACAAGAAATTCTCTTATTTCATGATAAAATTCATTAAATTGATTACAAACAATGATTTTCTTGTCATAAAGAGTCTCTTTAAAGAGAATAAGCATTCCCCCCATCAAGTATATTTCTTGATCCAAAAACAGCAAATTCAACAATTTCATTACATCTCTTAGTTTCTGGGATAATTGGACAGTCAATGATGTTTGAACCAGATTTATCAACACAAATATAAACTTCAAAAAGTTGACTATTCCCATTTAAATCAATATTGCATTCTACACCAATAGTATGCTCAATGCCTTTTTCTATTGCTTTCTTGATTGCTTCCAAGTTGTAAAATCCTCCGTTTGGTTGAATACCTGAAAATATTGAATTAGATCTTTTAAAGGCACATTCAAAATTTGGATCCTCATGTTACATTGTCCACGCTCTAGTTGGTGGTTTGAGTGTGTGGGGTGTTAGAGTCGATTAGAATCCCATATTAATTGGTCGAGAAAAGGATTGGTATTCTTTTTATATGAATTTGGGCATTTCTCCCCTCGTAATCTAGCTTTTGGAATTTAATTAAGCATATCTTACATGTTATCAGAGGCCAGAGCAAACAAAGGTCTTACTATTTAATCTCACCATCACCCATTGTCAATTATTTTTTGGGAAAACTACACAAATTGGACCCATTAGGCAAAGTATTTATCAGAATTTGACCCAACCCAATATATATACCCTGATTGGACCCACAACTTCAACTATTTACCCCACTGCCTCTTTGTTCTATTCACTGAACCACTGCTTCTTCATCCTTGACACCATCAAAGTATATATATATATATATATATATATATATATATTCTGATGGTATCAGGCAGTAAATGAATATTAGTAGTTAAAAACATGGGGTATGAAAGTAAATGGGTAGTCGCTTGTAAATTGTTTTTTTTTTTTGGGTACACATGTTCTTTCCCCCCTTTTTTTTAACGTGTTTGGCCATGAAAATAAGAATCAGTTCCGTACGTGAGGGATGTGTTGAGATTATAATTAAGTCAATATAATATGCTTTATCTAACAAGTTAAACATTTAGATGAGACGGTAACACGCTGAACACAATATACATAACTCAAACTCAATTTTATTAAGAATGCCTAATATATATATTACCTGCATTTTTGAGAATTTGGAGTAGATTGACCTTTTCCTTAAGAGCAAGAGCTGCTTGGAAATAAGAATGCATGTCCAACATTGAAAGGGAACATGTACCATGTTTCTTCCATTCATGAGACCAAAACCTAGTTCCATTATTTGATGGACAAGATAATGTTGGCCAATTCTTTTGCATACTACTTATTAGGTCCGAGATCTGTATTATAAGTTGTAATTCGTCTCACGTCAATATAATTAAAAATAATGTATTTTTAATTCAAATTTCAAAAAACGAAAAGTATCATGTAAATTCTTAAACTTACTTGTGTTTCATCATAACGAACATTCTTATTACAACTTTTTGGATATGATCCATTGAAGTAATTTGGCCATAGTCCATGAATACCAAAATCTTCTTCTGGTTTACCATTTGTAGGGTAACAACATTTTATCTTGCTGTCACATGATGCTGGATTCCACTATTTAATATGGAACAGTAAAGAAATATAAGAATATGATTGTTAACTTTCAAAAGAAAAAAATAAAATGAATAGGACTTATGGATCATCAACACACCAGCTAAGAAAAAGTACATAATGAATACACCTTTCAATTTTTTGAATTAATCAAGAATGGATAATGATGAAGACGAATATAAACTAGTGTGTTTGGTAAAACAAGAGTCATTTTACTGAAAAATATTTGTCTAAAAATAATTTTCAATTTTTTAATTAAATGAATTTTTGAATCTAATTCAATTACAAAAGTTAACTCTTAAGGTGAAATACATAATGAAGTTCAAAAAAGCTTCACATGCAAATTAAATACTCCTACGTTAGACACAACGACAAAATCAAAAATTTCATTTAGCGAATTCAAAATATGAAGAAGTAAACACTCAAAAAAAATTGAAGAACATTCAACATCTACTGTATATATACATAAAATATAATTTAAACTATATCCCTGAACCCTTACTAGCTCCGCCCCTGATTAGAAGTTTCAACTACTTATAAATTACATACCTGTTGAGTAAAGTAGAAGAAGTCAAAATCTTGAGCATGTAATAACGTTACACATTGGAAAATAATGAGATTGATCAAGACAACATTAATGGATCTCATGTTTACTTAATTGTTTTGTGTAAATTTGTGTTATGGATGAGACTTAATATAAACCACGAAAGTATGGAGTATAATAGTTTAAATATGCCAGTTTGTTCCCACGTTATGGCAACGTGGACAATATATTAATTTAATTAAACTATATAAAATTTAAATCATGTAAGTAATAAAAAAATAATATTTTTAATATATGCTATAGTGGGAATTAGTGGAGTTATTCAAAATAGGGCAGCGGCATGCCATGTTCTATTTTTTTTAAAAAGAACTTTATTACTATTATTTTTAGATGATTTTGATGCTCATTCTTGTAAATAAATAAATTAAAATCTTTAGAAGATAGGGGGTCAGACTTTGAATAAGTTGTTTACGTATCTTATTGGGAGAATTCAAGATCTATATAGTTAGAATAATTTAAGATGATATCCCAATATTTTTTATATACAAAAAAGGTATATTAACTACAACATTACATAAAAGTTCCATAAATTGAAATCTACACTTCTACCTTCCAAATACTCACTAAAACTTCATACAATCTTGTTGACTCTTCTTCTTCAGTATAAATCTTGAATTAAATCTTAGTACTTGCAAAAATCTCTATTGTTCGTGTAAAATTAATGACTACCAAAACCAATAAAGTAAACTCTAACAATGTTATTTTATTTTTTTTATCTTGTGATTAGTTGAAAAGATGATCTCTAACTCACACCCTTAACAAATAAAAATTAAACAACCCTAGTAAAATCGTCCATATGTTTCATTTATAGTCATAGAATATAATCAATAATCCTAGTTGGATTTGACCTTAACTTGTAAAAATAAATTCGCTAAACCCTTGGTGTATATATGCCTCTCTTTCCATCGCGAAATTTGGGATCCACACCACTTAATCTAACGTGAAGCGTAAATAAACTATTGAGTTCATGTGAAGCAATCTTTATTGGTCAGGATTTCAGATGTGTATCGTTGATAAAACAAATAACGATAAATCACATGGGTTCCTCATTGGAATATTCTAATTAAACTTCACGTGGCCAGCAAACAATTATTGATCATATACAAAATATTTGTTTTAATAAAACAATGCATTCAAATAAAAGCAATTTTCCACAATTGACCACGTTTAGTTCACAAAAATTAAGGAAAAAGAATTATACGAAAAATATTATAAAATATAATTTATATCAATATGATAATATATATATATATATATATATATATATATATATATATATATATATATATATTTTTATATCAAAGTTCTTAAATTGTTACAAGTAAACAAAAACTGAGGGAGTACTTCATTGGTCCATTTTTTAAAATTCAATATTGATTTGACACCTTCCTTATATCACTTTTTGAATATATTTTCTATTGACTTAACACACTTTTTAAGAATCAATAAATAAAATAATAATTTTATTATATCGTCTTTCGAATATGATTCCTGATTTCAAAATAATTATTATGTTTCGCTTTGCAAGAGCCAATTTAACTATTTTAAAAGCTAAATTTAACTACATTAGATTGATATTTTAAAATTGAAATTAAGATATTAAAAAATTAAACGAAAATTACTATAAATTATTTGGATAGTTAATTAAACTTCACGTGGCCAGCTAACATTATGATTCAGACACAAAATATTTTAATTTAAACTAAACAGTGCATTCAAATAAAAGAAACAGCCCATAGTCTACCACGTTTGGTTCACAAATCGAGGAAAACAATACTCTCCATTCACAATTATTTGTTCATCTAGAATTTTATATTCCCTTAAAAAATAATAATTAATATAAATATTTTATCAAATTATTGTATTAACTAATGTATATTTTTAGTAGATTTTGAAAAATAATAATCAATATTAAGGATAAAATAGAATTTTTTTTTATCTTTTTTGATATGTTAAAACTTAAAAGTATCAAGTAAACGTGAATTTATTTTTAGAATAGTAGAGAAGTAAAAAGTGAATGGATCGTTCACTTATTCTTTTACACCCATTTAAAAAAATCATAAATAAAAATATAATTTTATTAATTTACTCCTTAAAGATTTTTTCTTTTAAAATTTACAAACAAGTGTCTATATCTTCAAAAATAATTAGTATGGACTAGTGTAAATTGACAAGTTATTAATTTGAATTTATTTACTTATAATAATGTAGACAATTAATATGAAACGAAGGAAATTTGCTAATAAATTTTTGTCCAGTTTACTATACCTACTCATAGTTGTGATTAGTGTTTTAAAAAAGGGAACGCAAGCCGAGACGTTTAATGCCGCACGGGGCGAGACGTAAGCCAAGTGTGTATATATGGGCCAATTTGTATAATTTTCCAGTCTCACCAGAAAATAAAATAAGCAAATATGAAATCCATTTACTTTATTTTAGTCAATCTCTTTATCACCCTGTGTATATTGTCATCACAAGTTCAGAGTTTTGATTTCTTCTACTTTGTTCAGCAGGTATGCAGTGAGTATATATATTTGAATGTGATATTTAAAATTTATAGGTTCATGTTTAGGCAGAGAGGCGGATTTATAATTTAATCAGTTTAATCTACATCAAAATGAAGTATTGAATTCAGATGAACCTACATATTATATAGTGACATTCGTCCTTGATTTCAAACTCCTCTTCTATATCATTAGCACTCACATTTTCTTATCAGTTCCCGTTTGGTCATAGATTATGAAGTTGAAATTCAAAAATTTGAGTGTATGAAATTGTGATTTTTTTGAAAGTTTGTGAGCAGAAGTCAAATTTGAAGATAAGATCAAATCAAATATGATTAAATTTTATAGTCAAATAGATATTTAAATATAAATTCTCAAAATCTATGATCAAACACTAACTAATAAATATGTTTATTTTATGATCAGTGGCTACCAGCATTATGTGACAAGAAAGCAGCATGTTGTTACCCAACTACTGGAAAACCAGCACTAGATTTTGGGATTCATGGACTCTGGCCAGTTTACAATAATCACACATTTCCATCCAACTGTAATGGGAATTCTCCTTTTGATGAAAATCAAGTAAGTTTTAGCAGATGTCTCGAGTTCAAGTCCCTCTAGATACATAGTCAGTTTTATTAGGGAACACTTTAGCCCCTAATATGCGAATCTGAATTTATAAGTCAGACTCTTATATGAATATCAGACCCCGTATGAGAATAGAAAAAAACAAACAAATAAAGATATTGTATCTACCTATTTAGCTTTGGATTTAATGTACTTAACATGATAAACAACTTATGTTGTTAAGTTGTACTCCCTTGCTTTCAATTTGCTTGACTTATCTGACTTGACACGAAGTTTTAAAAAAATAAAAAAAACTTTTAAATCTCATGGTCTAAAATTAAAGATATGTCAAATGTACCAAAATAATCTATAATCTTATAATCTTAAACATACCATAGTCGAAAGTTGAAATTAAAAAATTACTAAACCTCGATTTTGTACATTGTTATAGATCTTGGACTTGATGAGTGATATGCAGAAGGATTGGCCAACATTAGCTTGTCCAAAAAACAATGGAAAAAAGTTTTGGGCCCATGAATGGAATAAACATGGTACATGTTCCCTTTCTATGTTGGACATGCATTCATATTTCCAAGTTACACTTGCTCTTAAGGTAAAAGTGAATCTACTTCAAGTTCTCAAGAATGCAGGTACTAACATCTGATTAATCGATGACAAAACTAGAAATTTATATAAGTGAATTAACATAAAATAACTTTTGAATCTCCTTTATTTATCGCGCTATTCAGTTGAATCCCGTTCCGCTATTAAGTTCAACATCTACTTCAAATTCAAACTTTGTGTAGTTATTTTTTGGCATAATACATAAACATAACCCTTAACTTGGTGTCAACCGGCAACTATGACCTTTAACTTTGAGTATGCACAAGTAGACACTTAAACTTGTATAAAATTGAACAAATAGACACATTCGTCCTACATGGCATCTGTAACAACTCAAGTTACCACACAAAGAGGATATATATATTAATCGTTGAAGAACCCCAAAATACAATTGAGAAATGGAAACAACAAGCAAGTAACCACTAGCGATTCCTTAAAACGAAACTCAGAATGTAATCAAAGGGGAAGAAGATCAGAAATTACAGAGATGGATAGAAGGGGATGAGAAGCTTAGACTAAGAAGGGAGATGAGAGGAAACACTCTTTTCTTTAACAATTTCCATTAGTCCAATTTGCTCTCCCAAGTCGTATTTATCAACCCGAATCCCAAACATAGTCTGGCCCAATTGCTTGTTCTCGGCCCAATAGGTCTTGCCAGCCCAACAACTATTTGTGTGATCTTGGTATTCCTATTGGGTTGGACTTGGTTCATAACAATACTCTCGTCCTCAATAAGAACCTTGTCCTCAAGGTTCGAGTAGAGCCACACATGCAATATAACATTGAATCTTCCAAGACTCAAGTGTGTGTAGAGAGCTGCAATAGTGGTGCGAAGTATAAACCAAACACTGTCAACTTGCAGAATTGAGGAAACAAATTCATTGCCTTCAAAGAATTCCATATTACCAAGAATCATAACAAAGGCCACAACTCTAAACAATTTCATCTGCTCTCTTTTGCCAAGCCAAGCAATTTTCAATACCTTTGTTATATTAACAGAATCATGAGCAGAAGTAATACATGTTGTTATTTCATAGCAATATGATTGGTGGAGATAGGAAAATGATTCAGGATCCCTCAATCTACACTTCTTGTTTACCTCCATAGGTGTTTCACAGAGAAGGGAGAGATAATGATGTTTCTGTTGAAGAATTATAGCAAGAAACGATTGAGAGCTTGCGAGGAAAGGCAGTCGCATGGCTGCACCGGATGTTTTTCTAAGCTCTGCAAGCTGAATCTGTTGTACTACAGTGCGCTCTTCAACAAGTCTATGGCCACCAAAATGGGCAAGATAGCACATAAGTCTCGTAGTAGTTATAAACTTCCCCCAACTACTCAAGATAGAATTACTTTTACTCTTCTCGAGCATTGACTTATGAACAACATAAGCATCAACAATTGAAGCATTTTTCACCAACTCAAGCTCACTTTCCATCGCTATAAAACTCCAACGATCATTTTCACAAGTTTGTAGTGCAACCAATTCATATAGTGAGAAAATGGGAGGGCAGTCAATAATTTTATCACCAGGATCCAAAATGTCATGCATTATCAACATAAGGAATTCATCAACACCATATCCAACAAGAATATACTCAAATTCAAGGACAGGACCTGTAGCATAACTAGCCGGTACACCCTGAGTGCCAAAGAAAACCATGATCTCCTCAAGCGTAGAGAAATTACGCAACTCCTGATCAATCAAGTTTGTCATGGACTTAATGCAACCTTGTATCCATTCAATACAAACAATTGGTGTAACTTCTTTCCCTTCTGGTGCCATTTTCAGTGCACTAGCCTGCTCACTTATTTTCTTTCGTATGAGTTGTGCTAATAATCGGTGCGGGAGTCGAAATAACTTGGGACGTATAATATCTATAGGTGCAATTGGTTGTATCTCCCTCGATGTAACTCTTTGGGAACTATCATGAAACAGAGGATTCACCTCGGAGTATGAATCATGCATTTTTGATTTTGGCAATACCATCTCGTCTACAACAGCCCACATAGCAAAAATGTTCTGAAAACTAAAATTTAATGAAGTAATAACTGTCAATGGAAGAACAGATAGCAAAACGGGAGAATGCATGCACCTTAGTTGTCCGGGATCCCACACTTGAGTCATAGAGTTAGCATAAGCAATGAAGCCAACGGCACCAGTAGAGCTCAATAATAGCAGTGGCGCCATATTCACTGTATAACCAATGAGAACCGTAGACTTGAAACTTACACCGGGATCCCATACACAAATATTTGTTGCAGTTCCAAGAACAACGACAGTGTCATCACGATTAAACGAAAATTGACACAAAATATTGTTAGTATTGAATTCACGAGTAAATTTTCCATGCTCCACAAAAAGCATCAATTCATCCAAAGACATGGTAATTTGTGGAACGCTATACTCTATATCTAGAATTTGTTTTTCATGATATAGATTCTCAATAGTTGCAGGCTCCAAGAAAAACTCACCAAGATAAATGTCGTCAAAGGTCTCAGATTCAATTTTTGGTTTATTAGAGCCACGATCCAGAGAATTAACAATAACATACCTTTTTGGCATTTCTTTTGGAGAACATCCATCGAACAGTTGGGCTTCACTGTGCTTAGGGCTTAATGCTGCTTCATCAAGCATTTTGTTTGGAGTATCGGGATGGACCTCTGAGACGACCATGGGGCAGAAACTAGGAAAACATTCCTCAAACACCTTAGGTGACAGAATATCGTCCAAATCAGCTTCAAATCTAGAGGTAGAGAAAGTTCCCTCCACTTCTTTGGTGAAAACTCTTGTAGACATTTTATCGAACATATTGTCCACATGACCTGAAAGGTCATTGATTAAAGTGTCCGGATGGTCCTCATTATCCACAGGGCTTGAGTTTTCTATGACCAAAGGAGAAGAAATCTCTTTGTGAAAGACTGTAGCAGCACAAATACTCACATCTTCTACTATAACCTGCTTAGACGTAACTGACCATTTGGTCTCAATCTTCTGAAGCAAAGCTAGAATATTGGAAATTTGAGTGTCCGCCACAGGAGACTTTGCATACATTTGTTTCGAAAAACGCAGGGCTAACTTCTCCTTGAAATGGGTCCAATCAAAAAATTGGTTGTTGCGAAACATCCAACGGAACCACTCGAGGGCCTCACCATCGAGATATAAGGAAGGAAGAGGCAGCCAGTGTTCTTCAGAGAAGCCCAGAAAATTGAAGTATCGTTCTTCCCTAGAAATCCAGTCCTCTGGATCAGCGTTGCCATTAAATCGATCTAAAACGACAACTTCCATTAGAGTACGTCGATGAAAGCACCAATGTAACAACTTAAGTTACCACACAAAGAGGATATATATATTAATCGTTGAAGAACCCCAAAATACAATTGAGAAATGGAAACAACAAGCAAGTAACCACTAGCGATTCCTTAAAACGAAACTCAGAATGTAATCAAAGGGGAAGAAGATCAGAAATTACAGAAATGGATAGAAGGGGATGAGAAGCTTAGACTAAGAAGGGAGATGGGGAGATGCGAGGAAACACTCTTTTCTTTAACAATTTCCATTAGTCCAATTTGCTCTCCCAAGTCGTATTTATCAACCCGAATCCTAAACATAGTCTGGCCCAATTGCTTGTTCTCGGCCCAATAGGTCTTGCCAGCCCAACAACTATTTGTGTGATCTTGGTATTCCTATTGGGTTGGACTTGGTTCATAACAGCATCCTACATGGATATTTTGTGTCCTATGTGTATTATGTCATGTAGGACACATGTGTCTACTTCTTCAGTTTTATACAAGTTTAAGTGCCTACTTGCGCACACTCAAAGTTGAAGGTCATAGTTGTCCGTTGAAGCTAAGTTAAGGGTCATATTTATGTATTATGCCTTATTTTTTTATTAAACTTGATGTTTTACGAGATGTAAAATAATGCCAGGAATTCGACCTGATGGAAGATCTTATGGCATGAAAGCAATTAAGGAAGCTATAAAGAATGAAATTGGACATGATGTTGTTATAGAGTGCAACAATGATGTGTTTGGGAATAATCAACTTTTCCAAGTTTATATTTGCGTTGATAAAACTGGATCGGACCTTATTGAGTGCCCGATGATACTCAAAAGGAAATGTGATGAAAACATTGTATTTGCTGACTTCGGATCTGATAGTGAGGGATCTTCCATTTCTTTATAATATATGTACTCAAGGGGCGACTCAATAGAATGAGAGGTTGATCAAGTCAATTGTAATAAAATGCATTCAACTTTGTTAAATAGAAGTTCATATATGTTGACTAAACAACATGAAACATGGAAAACATGTGAGTCGATTAATCCAAACTTGCGTCATACCTTTTGAAACATTTTGTCACACCCCCAAAGGGGTGAGACTTGGCTGGCACCCGATACCTCAAAACCCCCACTGATCGAATCATTATTAAGTATCTTTTATCCTTTTTATAATGGCAACATGTATATACTATACTTTGTGGAATTTTACTGAATATATATGTTATTGTTTATGCATATATCAATCGATTATAGAGGTACACACAAAACAAGGAGGTTCTTAATAGAAAGGAATACAAATTCAATGAGTCCATGAATAATATCTAGTGTTACCATTTTATTATATTAATGTCATTTAATTAGTTATTTATCATACATTATTGAGGGGTTAATGCGCAATAATCAGGTCTAGGAGAGCTATTCCCTATATAATTAATTAAGAAAATCAAATATGTATCTTTGATGCTTTTAAATAAGACAAACTACATAAATCTCACTAGTTTAGGTCCTAATTACTAAGATTTTCGGTAGTTTCAAATATTACTTCATCTATCATATTTCGTGCTTAGGATACATGAGTATGAATCCGAGAGATACATGTATCTGCCGAATTTTAAAATTGAGATACATATTTTATTTATTTAAATTAATTGGTTGTAACAAATTTCCTTAAATAGAGGAGTTAGTTGAGGATTTTCAAAATAGACAATCAATTTTGAAAATTTAAATTAATTAAATCTCTTAATATAAGACGAAAATCAAGGATTATATATATGTTTAATTAATTTCATTTTATTATATTATTAATAAAAGACAAAACATGTATATCTTGGTCATGTAATTCGATTAGTTTCATTTTATTACTCTTAAAATAATAAATTCATTAATTTGATGTATTTGTTATCAATATATAATGTATCCAACCAACTAAATACTTGAATACATGAGTATCATACAAGTACGTACATTCATATGTATCATAGAAGTATTTAGTATTAATTTCATGTATCTATTTATATGATCAAATATTATTTCATGTATTTTTTATATGTATAATTTGATGCATCAAGTATCAATTTCATAGATTATATCCAAAAATATGCATCTCAGGTAAACATGAAAATAGTTAGATATATTATAATAACATAACAAATAAATAAATAAATAAATAAATAAATAAATATATATATATATATATATATGATAATATTAAGATACATGATAGAAGATCACATATATATGACAAGATTCGGATACATGACAGAACAAATTGTGTCAAATACATACGTAAATTTTCAATAATATGTAAATCTCTAATATATTCATTAGTTACATACACACTGAATAAGATACACTGATAAAAACTAGATACATATAATCGTATCTCAATAATGTATCAGATACATCAATAAATGTGTCAAATACATGCGTAAATCTCCGCTTATTGAAACTTTCCAATTACGTTCGTGGTTGATCAGGACATCTCACCGCGGTGGTGTTTACTTCACCGTTTGATTCATCAGTGTTGCTCAATGTGCCTAGATCCGACAGGAGAAGTGACACGAAGTTTCTTGATTGATCTATATTATACAAGGTATGCAATCGATACTATCGTCAATGTCGAATTTGATAAATCTATTGGACTTGAAATCTCTGCTTACAACGATACTCATTATCTCTGCACGCGAGAGGTGTCTCCCCTTCCGAGAAAAAATGATGGATTCGTGGGGAATTGGTTTGAGAGTGAGAAAATCAAAGGCTAAGAATTTGATGTGTGTGTTGACAAGCTCTGAGCATTCATTTTAATGGAGTGTTCCTTCTCAGTAATTTTTTTGACTCTTCAAGGGAAAAAGAAGAGGAAAAGTTAAGAGTTTGAGTTTTACCCTAACTTATACTCTCTCTGAGAGAAAGATATTTGTTTTTAATTAAAATACTAATTTTGGAGTTTAAATATAAAGATAATTAGTCAATCCTAATTTTAAGGGATATGGGTATTGATCATATCTTCAATAATATATAATATAAAATATTAAAAGTGGTAATATATGTAATTGTTTAAAAATAAAGGTAAAATTAATATATATGGTAGTGATATATGTTTAATAAAGTAGTTTATCCTTTAAAGTATTTGCACAAAATGATGGAAGAGTCTTCGTGCTCATAATGCTTTTATAGTATCATTGACTATTGAGTAGTTTTTTAACAAGAAACTTCAATGATACCAATACAGTATATATTTACTTATTTAGTATCAATTAAGCGAAATTATCAGCCTTAATGATACCAATACAATATATGATACTGATTTGAGGTATTAATTATTTTGCTTTTATGAGTATTTGCTTAGTTTCCCCATTTTAATTAATTCGAACACCATGATCATAAAATAAAAAATAAATTGAAATTATAATTTCAAAATTGATTATCAAAGCATATTTTTCTCTAAAAGCAATACCCAAAATTGGCGGCCCATCAAAAAACGGCAAACCCAGCTAGCTAAAAACCCAAATTCCATTTCTTTTATCCTCTCGTCTTCTCAGCTGAGGTGCGCCTTCTTCACCGGCAGGAATAATTTCTGGTAAATTTGCCTTTTTCATGCTTATGCTTTTGTTTTCCTGTAGCGATTTTTACTAAGAGTGGTTCAAAATCGGAAGAAGTACACACATGAACTAATCGAACTGGTTCGACAACAATTTTAAACCATGTATGAACAGTATAATTTTCCGTCAAAGGAGGCTAGGATGAAGCCCTGACCCCTAAATGATGCTAATGAACTATAAAACATATCTTTTTGTGCTGAAGAGTATGATTTCATTGCAATTATGTAGATGGATAACTGATAAGAGCTTATTATTTCCAAGGAGTGGTTATTGTAGTATCTGGAAATGAGGCTTGGTAGTTGTTGTATCTGGACAGTGGATAGAGGTTACAACTTCAATTTGAACCTCTATTTGTTGACCTCATTTTCAGTTTTTGGCGAAGAGCAACGTTTTCTGAGCAAAACTATCTGGTTTCAATTAGTTAGTTGTGTAAAGAGACATTTATTATTAGTATTCATGACTGAAATCTCCTGTACATTAGCCGGTCCGTCCCTAGTTGATGCACACGTTCCAAGCTCGGGGAGTATGAGCCTACCTCTCTAGCTAGATGCAGGGTTTGAATTAGTGACCTGCGATTACCACACACCACCAGTTGTACTTACTTTACCATTTAACCAAAGTCCTGCAGAAATAAGAAATGTCTGTTGTAGATGTTCTCTTTTAGCTGGAAATGTCAGTATGTCTGAAAGCGTTTGGGGAGTTTCTATTCAGTTGACCTTGCTATTGCTGATTCTGAAGTTAGATATTTTTAGGGTTCTCTGGTAGTTGGTAGCTGCTACCTGTTCATATTTCTTACGGAAGGATGCATAGAAGTATAATTTTTGACAGTAGAAAAACTAGCATGTGGCATAACTTGTGCAATGATCTTAGTTCTTAAAGGAAGAGACTATTTTGATTGTTTTGTCATCATATTAGTAGTTTATGAGTCACGATTGATGCATCTGCTGTTTGGGGACACTCGGTGATTCACTAGTTTTCATGTATAGTTGGAGAAATTATGGGATGAAATATCTTCACACTGTCCTTCCTGAAAGAAACAGAGTTAGGTCATTGGTGGTGCAGCAAATGGTGTATAGCTATGTCTACTAATTTTTGGCTAAGAATTTCCAGGAGGAAAGCTGGGGATGTTAAGTTTTTAATAATTCCAAGTCTGGGGGAATGTTAAAGAAGTAATTAGGTAAAATTTACAAGTCTTTTTTAGTAATGTATGTCTTTTTCTTTTTATAAGTTTCAAATGATTAATGATTCAAAATCTCCTTAAAATATTCATATCTTCTTGTTAATTGCCAAACAACAACAACAACATACCCAGTGTAATTCCACAAGTGGGGTTTGGAGATGGTAGAGTGTATGCAGACCTTACCCCTACCTTGGGAGGTAGAGAGCTTGTTTCTTGTAGACCCTCTGCTCAAGGAAAAGCATATCTAAGCAGACACTAAAAGAGCATGACAAAGCATCCTGAAAAAAAGAATAATAACTACAACAAAATAGTGTGATAATCGAAGTACAAGAGATTGTAGTTTGTAACAAAAGACAAGAAACTAAAAAAGAAATACTATGACTACTAGTAAGGAAGGATAAGCTAGACAACACTCTATTACCTACTAACCCTCTACCCGAATCTGTGTCCTTCACCAACTGCCTATCTAAGGTCATGTCCTCAGTAATTCCCAAACATTTTGATAAAGTAAGACATTTATTGCTAATCATTCATAGGATACAAACTGTATAATTCATAATTGACTCCTAATAAAAGTGAGGAATTTAAAAAATACAGAGGTGATTCACATTATTTACATCCGAATACTTTTCCCAATTGTGTCGATTGAATCTAGCTTTCAAAGGGGGGACTGAGGTTGTTTCTCCTTCAAAAATCTCATATTCCTTTTTCTTCAAATTGTTCAAAAAGTAAAGCTGTGAATGGACTGCTACGGCTTCGTCTGAACTTTCCAAAGTCTGACTGCTAAGACTTCGTTTATATCATTAGGTGTGACTACACGCAAGCCAAAAAGGTTCAGGAACGTAATGCACACTTACTTTGTTACATTGCAATGCTGAAAAGGTGTCTGTGCTTTCATATTCATACTGAGAGAGGTAATATGCACTGCATATTTGAAATTTCACCTCATTAGATTGTCCTGTTTAAGACAAGCCTCATAAGTCTGAATCCATGTGAACTGGGTACCTGTATTGGGTGTTTGTTCTCCAAATGATTTTCCAAGGCCAGTTATCAATTATATTGTCACCTGACTCACCTCTCACTGTGAATTCTCCCTTTGTGTGATCCCATCTTACCCGGTCCTCCTTTTAATGGTTAATGTTTATCTACTCCAGTCTATTTAACAGGTCCAATATCTGATCAATTTCCCATTTAAAGCAATTCCTTCTCAATCTAATATTCCAACCACTGTTTCCCCTCATTTTTGCTACCACTGCCTCTGGTGATTGGTTAAACCGGAAAATAAGAGGAAATTCTTCTCTGAGAGGGCTGCTCCAACACCAACTATCCTGCCAGAACTTTAATTTTTCCCATCTCCCACTTCAAAGCATATAATTCCTGAACTAACACATGCATGAACTTATGGAAGATGTTGCAGACGATAAGAACTTATTTTGGGAAGGTGATGGTGGGGTGGCCGGATGGGTGTAGTGGAAGGGAAAAAAACACTTGGGAGTAGTTTCTCATGGGTGCTTGGATTGTTGAATTATGTAGAGGCCGGTTATTGCTATCTCATTACCTAAAAATCACTCTCAATGGAGCCTGGAGGGTTCATAATTTTACATCCAGAGACTCTGTGGTGATTATTATTACAGGTCTTGGAGCCCTCAAAACATGAGAGGGTTGCCATACTTTCTGAGTCTAACGCATTAGTTTTTCTTTATTGATTGAATCATTTAAAAGCTTAACATTACAACTTGGTTCTTTTTTGTGGTTAAAAGCACAAGTTGCATACTTCGATCATTTCACCCTCATTTGCTAGATCCAAAGGTTTAATATTGCCTACGTTCTAATTTAACTTTCCTTGTGGAAGCCTTGGTCTCTTACTCTGCAACATTACTGTACGAGTGAAAGGTCTCCATGTGTGTGAGAGTAATTTCAAAGTCGACCTTAACTCATTAGTTACTAGAAACAGGAGAAAAAGAATTATAGTAATGTTCAACTTATTTCTTAATGACATTGCAAGTGTGAAGGCTTATTTTTTGACAATTGCATCTTTGTCTGGTGCAGGTTTTCATCTTCAGAATATGAAGGTCATTAGTTATAACCGCATCATTAATCCCAGTTTTTTGCTCATAAATCATGAGTTGCCTTCCAACACGTTCCATCGACCCCGGTTAATATCCACTTCAGCTCCAAGTATTTCAAGTTTCAATATGAAGAAAAAGGACTTGATGATGAGATTACCGTGCTGCTTTACTACGAGAGCTGCTCTTTCATCTTCAGTGAAGACAGACACTTACAGTGGAAGTAAGAAACAAAAGAGCTCATCTTTCTACACTCATCCTAGTTTATTAGAGATGAAGAATGAGAAGGCAGCCAACCGTGTACGTGTTTATGAATTCTTGAGAGGTATTGGCATTGTACCTGATGAGCTCGATGGATTAGAGCTTCCTGTGACTGTGGAGGTCATGAGAGAACGTGTGGACTTTCTTCACAAATTGGGACTCACAATTGAAGATATTAACAACTATCCTCTTGTTCTGGGATGCAGTGTGAAGAAGAACATGATTCCTGTGCTTGATTATCTGGGCAAACTGGGTGTTAGAAAATCCACCTTGACAGACTTTTTGCGGCGGTACCCACAAGTTCTACATGCAAGTGTGGTGGTAGACCTTGCTCCAGTTGTGAAATATCTTCAAGGCATGGATATTAAACCAAATGATATTCCGCGAGTACTGGAGAAATATCCTGAAGTGTTGGGGTTCAAACTTGAGGGCACAATGAGTACATCAGTTGCTTATTTAGTAGGAATTGGAGTGGCAAGAAGAGAAATTGGTGGGCTTCTGACTAGATATCCTGAGATATTAGGGATGCGAGTAGGTCGGGTAATAAAACCATTTGTAGAATATCTGGAAGTCTTGGGAATTCCGAGGCTAGCTGTGGCTAGACTGATTGAGAAGCATCCTCACATTCTTGGGTTTGGACTACAAGAAAGGGTAAAACCAAACATTCAATCCCTTTTACAGTTTCATGTGAGGGAAGCCACACTTCCTTCAGTAATTGCACAATATCCTGAGATCTTAGGAATCGACATGGAGGCAAAGCTTCCAAGTCAACAAGAATTTCTCAATTCAATAATTGAATCTACTCGTGAAGATTTTGGGCGAGTTATTGAAAAGATGCCACAGATTATCAGCCTCAGTAAAGCACCTGTAGTGAAGCATGTTGATTTCCTCAAAGGATGTGGTTTTTCCTCGAAACAAGTGAGAGAAATGGTCGTGGGATGTCCCCAGGTACTTGCTCTAAATCTCGACATTATGAAGCAGAGTTTTGAGTATTTCAAAACCACAATGGCAAGGCCTTTGGAAGATTTGGTTGCTTTCCCTGCTTTCTTCACTTATGGTCTGGAGTCCACAATAAAACCAAGACATAAAAAGATCGCTGAGAAGGGCTTAAAATGTTCCCTGGCATGGCTTCTTAATTGTTCTGATGAGAAATTTGATCAGCGGATGAGTTACGACATTATTGACATGGAAGAAATGGAAGTAGGTGAATCATCCTTCGATATGAATACTCTACTGGAGCCCAGAAATGATGAATCAGCCTCTGATTACGACGATGATTACAGTGAAGACGACAATGTATAGACTACTCAAGTGGATGTTCTGTTCACCCCCAGAGTATGTAAATGCTAACTATTTCAAATTTTCTGAGTTTTTGAATGGCCATGAAGGTGGCCAATGGAGTTTATCAAACTGAATATAGAAAGGGGATATAATGATTGTTGATTGGTCCCAATTTCTGAAAATGAATCTTAGAAGTTAGAACCTTAGTAGTACGACAACAGTATTCCACTACCAAGCATGTTGCACAATTTTACATCTTCTGTTCAAAATCTTAGAGAGAAAGATGCTAATAAGAAAATTCTTGTAACTATAAATATCTTCAACAACGCACCCAAGGGTGTGACCTAGTGGTCAATGAAGTTAAATGTCAGAGATTGCCTCCTCTTCTAGGGTCACTCTCTTTATTTATTCAATGCTTGGAAGAAGAGGAGCGGCAAACAAAGAGAGCACTTGGCATTGGCTCATTTCATGCTACGATGATGTCTCTGTGGTTGAGAATCCCGAGGTCTCAGGTTCAAAATCTGTCCTAGCTTTGGTGGAAAGTGTTATCTGGTACCTGTTGCTGGAGGGAGGTGACAGGTATTTTGTGGAATTAGTTGAGGTGCACGAAAGTTTGCCTGGACATCACGGCCATAAAAAAAAAAATACATCTACAACATGTTCTTATTGATCGTTAATCCTCTATTTGTTTAGTTACAAGTGTACTTGTTTATTTGTATTCAATCTATCCTATGGGAATGCAACCTGAAAACGTTTTTGCATAATTGCTCAAAGAACCTGGTTCTTTGAGTACTTGATTGTAGTATTGTATGTTGCTTGGATGGTGAACACCCTTTATTTCCAACCTTAAGGTTTTGAACTCGAGTCACCTAGAGGACACCCCTTACTTCCAACCTCAAGGTTTTGAGCTCGAGTCACCTAGAGAGTAAAAAGGTGGGAGCTCTCCTTGGGGAGGGGTTAAATAAAGAGAAGGTACATTTTGTTTTTCTTGAACCAATCGAAAAAACTCCTATTGGCTATTGCATTTGAATTGAAAAAATAGTGTTCCCATTTTTCTCGACGAATTTTAGCTTGCAATTACGTTCTTTGGTTGATACAAGTTTATGTTAAAAATAGTGAACACATCTATAAAATCTTGAATTCGCCATTGACTATAACCTTCATATTGCTTGCTTTTCTAATAAACATGATTTGAAGTGATATATAATTAAGAAGGAAAAAGAAAAAGAGGATTCAATTAGTAAGCCCTCTAATTTTGACCTACTCCATTAGTCTTTTTTTTTTTTTGGCTGACTTCACATTATTAATCAAATGGTCAGCCTAAAATTATAAATCAATGAATTTCTTGTATTTTAAAGAGCAAACACATCTCGTACCTAATCCAAAATCAACCAAAACTACTCAAGTTCAGAGCCAAAAATGCCATTTTTTCTCAAAAAATGCAAAAAGGGCCACTTAATTTTCGAATTAACTAAAACAGACATATCACTCATCCTTGATAACCTAATTCAAATGATGTTGTATTAACTTGTTGTAACATATTAAATTACATGTCAATAACGTCAAAATTATGCATTGTCAGCGTATATAACTTCAAATCGTTTTTCGTAAGAATGTTGTTAAAGTACGTACCACAGAGAAAGTAGAGCAGGTAAAGAGTCTACAAAGCTGAGTGCATATCTTAGCCACTTCAACCGTGCTCATAATTATATTTCAGCAAATCCACATCAACCACTTCCTATTGCTGAAAATTACTAAAAAAATAAAATAAATCCAAACATGCCTTAGTATTTGATAATATAAATTGGTGATCAATCTAAAATCACTTATAACAAGCTGAAAATACAAATTATATAGAAAAATTTCAGTGAAGAGAGAAACTTGAGCCATCGAAAAACGAATGATGAAGGCTGTATCAATTGAATCTGGAGAAGCATCAAAGGCTATGGGTCATGGAGTGAACAGAGGACTCTCTGTATTTGATCTTGTTCTTCGTATCGTCGCGATTGTTGGTACCTTAGCAGGAGCTGTGGCAATGGGAACTGCTGAACAAACTCTTCCTTTTGCCACACAACTTGTGCAATTTTCAGCTCAATATGATGATTTTGACTCATTTAAGTAAGTCCATCTATAGTACTACACATTTTTTTATTTTGAATGATACTTCAAAAGCCTTTCTTTCTTAAACTCTGTGTCAGGTCAGACTACATTATATAATTAAGACGAAGGGAGTATATATACTATGAAAGTACAATTTCATGAAGGTTTATTCATCTTTTTGTTTTCTTGATATAGGTTGTTCGTGATTGTGAATGCAATAGTATGTGCATATCTTGCTCTTTCTCTACCATTTTCCATCTTTCATATTATGAGGAGCAGAGCAGGAAAAAGTCGGATTTTGCTCATCTTCCTTGACGCGGTAATGTAGATTGAGTTCTTTTTTATACAGTCAAACCTCTTTATAACGTTGTTTGTCAGGATATTTTTTGACTGCTATAGTGAAATATTATTATGGAGAACATACACTATAACATAATAACATACTCAATGTAATCGATAGGGTAAGGTGTATACAGACTGTATCCCTACCTCGTGGAGATAGAGAGATTGATTCTAAAAGATGCTTAGCTCAAGGAACTTGTAACAAAGCAATGTTAAAAATAACATACAGACGCAAAACAGACATAACAGATAATAACGAAATCATTACATAAGATTCAGAAAAAGGAACAACAACAACATCAAAATAATGTGATAACTGAACTTATTAGTTTCACACAAAATTGGTTGTTACATAAAAATATTGTTACAGAGAAGTCTGACTGTACTGTTTCACTATAACTTGTGGTTGATTAGGCCTTGAAAAAGTGTATTATTATAAGTATCATGAAAATTAGATCATTTTTATCCCTAATTCATAATTTTCTTGTTAAATTTTGAAGATAATGCTGGTTCTTCTCACATCTGGAGCATCTGCAGCAACTGCCATTGTGTATTTAGCACATACTGGGAACACTTCTGCAAACTGGTTTTCAGTTTGTCAACAGTATACCGATTTCTGCCAACGATCTGCTGGCTCTCTCATCGGCTCATTTGGCGCGATTGTGTGTCTTGTTCTCCTAATCATTTTCTCATCTGTCGCAATATCTAGGCGATAAATCGATGCTGTTTATACATTGGCTTGTTAGCCTTTTATATATAGTTTGTGTATCTGTTGTGTTTGATATTTGACTAAAGTTTCATGCTTTGGATTTTGTATGCAATTCACTGCCAGGCAGTGTCTGTTACTTATATCAATATATATTGTGTCTGTTAGTTTTCAAATTGGAGTTCAAAAAATGATTCAATTCCTCAATTTACTCATCAATGGGAAGTTTAAGCCTCAAAATGAGAAAAAGCTCAATATATTTTCTTTATCTTTGGGTTAAAGATTCAAGTTACCTATTTTTTAACATTGATATTGTCAAAAAATTTATGTATGGAATGCTCAATCATCTTGTTATATATTTAGAAGAAATAATAACTGCATGTGACAGAAGGTGAGAAGAGAACACCTTATTTTATTTAATATAAATATTATTGTAGCTAAACTAAGAACTTCTCTTTGCTTGTTGAACTATATCAAGTTATTGTTAACAGATGACGTTGCAAGAAAAGAAAATTGTGTACTATTACGCGTGAAATCAATGTGATGAACCTCTTGATTTTAAAAAAATTGACGGCAGTTTCATCACTTTTGGTCCGCCATCAAACTTATCTTTTTAAAATTAAAATCGAGAGGTTCATCACGTTCAGTGATGAAAATACAAACCTCAAACAACTTTTGCAACCACTTAACCACTACACTAAACCTTCAACTTATGTCAAGAATACAATCATTTTAAGTTTTTTTTTTTTCTAAAATAATAATAATAAAGTGTCTTTAAATTTATTTGTCTTACTTTGTTTTAGTTTGTTTCTAAATATTAAAGAATATTTCTTTCTTTTCAATCAATTTTTAAATTTAATTTTACATATGACATGTTTAAGACTAGAAAATTAAAATGTATGTTGGTATATATATCTAATTTAGTTTAAGATCATAAGATTTAAAAATCTTTTTTATTGTTTTAATTTCACGTCAAGTCAAAATCAAACAAAAAATTAAAACGGATGGAGTGTTATTTTAAAAATAAAGTAAATTTTTTCATTAACTTTACATCTCAAAAATAATTTTAAATGTACTTATAATTATGTATCATGTAGCTTAAAGTCCCAAAAAGGGAGTGAATTTAAGTATACTAACAAATACCTTAAATGATGAAGAGATAGAAGCATCATGAAATTTCACGTTAAATAAGTCATTCTTATTTACTTGAATCGCTTTGGGGAGAAGCACTAAAAACTACCGTTTATATATTAAACAGAGTTCCAAGTAAAGCAGTAACCAAGACCCTGTAGGCTATATATGTTGTTTATCTCCAAAAACATGATTTTGACATGGGATTAGAAGATGATCCTATAATTGTTAGCCAAGTAAAATTATGTCAAGACTTTGCTAAATGAATCGAAGCCATGAAAAATGAGATGAAATCAATGAAAGATAATAACGAAACTAGATTTTTAAAATCGAACGTGATTCAAAAGGTAACATTGAAAGATATAAAGTACATCTAGTTGCTATCACTCAAAAGGAAGGCATAGATTTTAAGGAGAAATTTTCGCCAATTTCATCGAAAGATTCTTTTAGAATTATTATGACACTTTTAGCTCATTATGACTTAGAGCTACATCAAATGAACGTAACGACTGTATTTCTCAGTAGAGACAATGAAGAAACAATATACATATTGCAACCATAAACCTCTGAGTCTCAAAATTAATGCACATTGTATGTAAACTTAAGAAGTTCATATATGGTTTGAAACAAAAATAATGTCAATGGTACCGAAAGTTTGATCAGGTGATAACCTCTTTTGATTTTAAGGAAAATATCATTGATCAATGCATATATCTCAAGTTTAGTGGGATAAAATATAATTTATTATTCTTATGCTATCCATATGTTGATGGCATTCTACTGGCAAGCACCAATATAGGTTTATTGCATGAAATCGAGAAATTTCTATTCAATAAATTTGAAATGAAAAATCTTGATAAGACGTCATTTGTTTTGGGTATAGAGATCCGTCAAGACGTCATATGGTGCTAAGTAGATTTGGCATGCAAAGTTGTGCTGCAGGAGTCATGACCTAGAGCGTCATGAGTGGCATCCACACTAAGTAATTCGGTGGGAAAACCAGCTAACTCGAAAAACCAACCCAACACCATTTAATTAACCAAGTCTAATATATATAAAATAGGAAAAGCAATTTAGACATAATAGAACTGAGTCCCTATAAACTCAACGCAGACGTCTAAACACCAATGCAGAAAATACCCCTAAGAATTGAAAGTCATCATACCAAACTCTAAAATAAATTCAAGTGGGGATGTAACCCCGAAACTAAACATAATTATAATTCAAAAGTCTGTGTCTGAACAATGGACAAAAAAATATAGAGGAATCTCTGGAAGCCTAAAAGAGGAAGCTCACCCTTGGAATCGAATCAGATATCTCTCAATTGAGGTCTCGGATCAGCCGCTAAAATAATTCGCTGCACTCAACAAGCTGAAAGGAACAAGTGTAGTATTAACATATAAATCATAGTATACTGGTAGAATCACTCGGCCAGTCCAATTTATACATATAAACAATTCACCATCAAATAGTAACATAGAACAATACATAATATAGCATGACTTGAAACAACAATGCATACCCATAAGGCCATAACCACATGTCAACTACATATAACAACAAATACGAAGACTTAACACACATCTTAAGAAACAATAAACAATAGAGTAATATTATTATATTATCCTTTGAATATTTTAAATTTAATGCTTTGAGAAATGTATTAGGTATTAAATAGTATTTTATAGCAAGGATAAAATAGACAGATCAGAATAAATTATCTCTTAATTTTCTAAACCGAACTAATATTGTTGAATAACTATTTTTAGTATAGTAAATAAGTAAAGATGAATTATGAAGTATTATAATGATCATCTATTTATAGTAAGAACTACATATAAATAACAACGAAGAGAGTATATCATAGTGAAGAATACTCCAAAAATATCAACGTCATATAGATGAAGATATACTCATTTATTAATCTTTTTGATAAGCCATGCATAGACCACACTCCTTTAGCCACTCATCATGGCCATCACCTTCATTTTTTTGTCAATTATGAACGTCCACCTTTAATTTTCCCAATCACCTTTCATATTTATGCTCTTGTCATCCATAATTTTTGTATTGTGATAAGGATGGTGCGTTTCTATTATTTTACTTGCAAATTATTCTTATCGATACAAGTGGCGATTACTATAAATATTTTCTATGGTTGAAGTTTAAATCCTTGTCTCTTTTATTTTTTTTGTCCTAATACATTGATGGTTAGACTAGATTTATATTCTTTTCCTTTTGTTTTTTTGTGGTTGAAAGAAAAGATAAAGTTTCTTGCATCATCTAAGAAAGAAATGATCTTATTTATGTGATTTATGTGATGCGATTTGAATTTTAAATACCAAAGTATATGTTTATATGATTTTTAATATATTTTGAATTATTAATGATTTGACTTATAAAATTTTTAAATTTTTCAATATATATATAAATTTTATTTTTATTTTTATTTCTATTATATAGGTTAAACTAGAATAATTTAACACTGGAAATTCATAGTATCAAATATATTGAGACATAATATATGACAAGAGATTGAGGATTTACTGTCATTTATAAATTAATTAATAATTAATATATCGTTATTATTGTAATCATTATTATGTTTGAAGACATCATTATTTCTCTTCTATGTGGAGTTTATCCTAACAAATTAAGGATTATCTCTATTAGTTTTTTTTTCCAATCTTAGGATTAATAATGTTTTTACTTATTTTTCAGTGTAATGTGAATTAATATAGTATTCAGCTGCCTTGAGCAAATCCCACTTTTCGCTTATCTCTATTAGTTCGATAATGTTATTTCAACGCGGATTAGGTAGTATAACGAATAATTTCCAATTTTACCAATTATAAATTATAATTTTTTAAAGAAAAATCAAGTATAGGAAAAAGTGAAGAATGAGGTTAACTTGGAGAGTAAAGTCAAGCTTATGCACCCACTAAATTGACAATTTATTTGCTAAATATAGAAATGAAGAAAGGTAGACCTTTGTAAAATATTAGTATTACAATTTCAGAACCAAATTAATTATTTGTCAAACAAGTGCTAGAAAATAAAATTCTGTATTAATACAACAATCTATTTTTCCCTACAATACCATGACCTTTAAATTACATATATATGTTATTGTTGATGAGATATTAGTAGTCCACGACTGATCAACTTGTTTTGGATTGAGGCATAGTGATTGTTGTTGTCGAAATATTTAATCGCTGTGCACCGCCTTCTCACTGAAATTGAAAGGATGGATTCACAAAAATTGGCTGTTTGAAGAAGCTATTAGAGTTATTTTGTGACACTTCCCCTAGTTGAAATATCTCCATGGCTTGATGAGGCCCAACATATCCATTGGTCATTAATGTATTATTTTGGCTTATAGTATTGTATGAATTATTGTCATCAAATAGTTGTGAAATTGACCCAAAATAATCCATTTCTAATAAATGAGATAGTGAACAAGTCCTTGGTAGTTTCATTGTTTGTTGTCCATTAGAAGCCACAACTTCAATAGGATTAATAACACTCATTATTTGAGATTGTTGTGTGTCTTCTTCAACTTTCATCATCTCTATAGCTCTTCCCAAATTCTTCTTTTTATAAATTCTACAAAGCACCCAATCATCCAACTGAAAAATCACCATCAAAAAAGTAAGTATTAGTCATGACAAAAAAATATGAATAGTAGAAAAGATTTAACTTATATTCACTAACTAGCTATAGAAAGTTACATGCCATATTTTTCAATATAGTATATACGAATCATACATATAATTACTTTTTAAATGATTTGATTAACGTACAATAGTTAAACTATACACTATGACAAAAATATAAAAATTAGCGACGGACAAATTTTACAGTTGAACAAAATTAGAAACTTATCATAAAAATCAATTAGCTATGAGTAATTTATCGATGAATTAGTGACAAACACTATGAGAAGCGAATTTTTTTTTGCTATAGAACAAATTTTTCTACTCAATTCCCACTGAACCAGCTCACTGAGAAAAACGTATGGTGGGAATCAAATTTACATTGAAATATACTTAAAATATCCACTAAACATTTTTTTATTTTCTCATTGAATATTCAATCAAAATATCTGCAGAAAATAGTATTACAAAGAATTTAAATCTTACCCTCATGGATCCATTTGGCCTAGTAATAATTGGTTGAGTCCTTGATTCACTCAATCTATATTCATGCATGATCCAATCAGTCTTGATACCTTTAGGTGGTTTTCCTCTATAAAACACAAGAGCTTTTTTAATACCAACATATTTTGTTCCACTATATATAGCTTTATCTGTGCCTGTGGCTTTCCAATAACCAGACACAGCTGCCCTATTTGGCCTAACACCATTTGGATATTTTCTATCACGAGGGGTGAAGAAATACCATTCTTTTTCTCCAAATTCAGCTTTTTCTACGTTAAAAAAAAAAAAAAAATCAATATTAATTCATAAAATAATTATTTGAATTAAAACGCGATTATATATGTATATCTACTAACCAGGCAATTCCCATGGATCGAACTTATAGACATCAACTTCAGGGATGATTGAAGATGGACAAGGCCTTGATGTAGCTTGATTTTGAAGATAATATATGATTAATTCCTCATCTGTTGGATGAAACCTAAATCCAGGAGGAAGGTGATTGGAATTATTTTTACCAATCATTTTTTTTAAAAAAATTTATATGATTTTTTGTGGAATAGAACAAAGGTTTTATAAAAAAAAAATGTATAAGCTAAAGAGAAGTAAAGTATGTTAAAGTGGGGTTGATGTAGGGGAATTTGATTCTATGTAAGAGGGAAATAATAATATTGAGAAGTGAGAGGAATTAATTGAAATGTTTGAAAGGGGAAGGTTGGCCAATTTATTCTTGAGGATTTTTTGTTTTGTTGCTAATCTTGTTGCATGACATGGGGTTTGATAATTGGCTGCTTTTGACTTAACATTTCCTAGTATTTTGGTTTTTTGGTTTTCCACCTAGTGTCCGGAGCTCATATTGGAGCCTCGACTAAATTTGGATTGCGTACTGCAGGGTTCATTTGGGAGGTGACGCTCCCAATATATAGGATTTTTTTTTATACCTAAGACTTGAACCCGAGACTTCTAATTAGGGGTGAAGCAGTCTCATTATTGTGCACACCACAGACCATGTTGATAACATTTCCTAGTATTATGAGTATAGCAAACTATACTTGAAGATTAGGTATATTACTTTAATTAATTTATTCCTTCAATGGATAACATGTCTATTATGAGTATGAGGTAGGGGTTGGATGAAGTACTTAGTTCTTATCTTTTTCTTTTTGTTGTTTGTGCTACTTTAACAATTTTTCATTCCATGGCTAGCTAGCTTTTTCCAATTTTGAGTATCAAAAACAAAATAAATAAGTAAATTTCCTTGCAAGAATCAGGTCCAGTGGCTCTTTCCACGAATATTTTAATTGAGTAGGTGAGAAAAGAAAAAACTTAATAATATTTTCATATGGAAAAATTAGGAAGTTTCTCACTATTTTAGTGAGAATCTATTTTTCATCATATATTTTCCTGATGAGCTGGTTTGGTGGGAAATAAGTGGAAATATCATGTTTTATAACACAAATTTATCATTAATTTTTATGAAAAGACTTTTATTTCTAATGGTGTCATGATCTTATATTGATATTGTGTGTGACCAAACGCTAATAAGAGTGAAAGTTATTGGATATTAAAGTTAAATACCCAATATATAAAGACAAAAAAAGATTATATAATTTTGTGCTACGTGTGTCTAACCTTTAGTTTGGTGGACAAAATTATCCAAATAGTCGTATTAGTGAGATATATATGATAGGTACCTAATGGAATAATTTAGTTTGTACGAAATGGTCCGTGTTTCATTATTAATCAAACAAATGGTATATCGAGGTGGAGTCAGATATAATAGAGTTGAACCACTTTATCTAGTTCAATTATTTTATTTCTTTAAATTTTGAACCATTTAGTTAAAATTCTAACTCTGCCTTTATTTATATATCGCCCATATTCATCAATTTAAAAGGTTGAAGATTTAGGTGTATGATGAAGACAATAATTATAGAGAACTTTTGGACTTTTTTGATATTTTAGAGTTTTGATATTTTCTCCAAATTAATGTACCATGTCATGAAGTAATAGCTAGAGAGAATCATTTGTGTTATTGTCATGGCTAAATTAGAACTCCACTACATCTTTTTTCTTTTGTTTTTTTCTAAAAAGATGGAAAAAAGGTCTTTAGAACAAATGCAAGAACTTTTTTTCCCATTCCACAATGATGTGATGAAACTTATATGCAATTGGCGGTCGTATAGATTCATTGTATATATTATTAAAGAAAATGACTTGAAAACAACATTCATACATAATATATGAATAACGCTTATACACAGTTTATCAATCATTAAAACTTCACGTTATCTTAAACGTACAGGATCATTGTCATTCAATAGAAATAGTTCTAGTCAATCAAATAACTAAAAGGGTCAAGGAAGTATTACTTTCGATATATTAATTAATAATATTGTTATCCACTAATAGCGTTTTTCAAAATGTTAGAATTTTTTTGTTAGTTGGTGAAATATTTATGATTTGTCTAATATAAAACATAGTTATGTGACTTTGATCGAGAAAACATAATTCTGTGACCATTAATAAAGTTTTGTCCATATTTTCTTAATTAAAACCAAATCCAAAAAAGATAAAACTTTTTCCAAGTTTATTGTGGGTAATAATACAAACGTTTTGAATTGGACGAAATCATGGTTCTTTGGTGAACTTGTCATCAATTCAATCCCTTATTCCAACAATTCCATTACAAATTGAATTAAAAAATTTATCTTTTTTTTAAAAATAAAATAATTAAGTGTACAAATAAAGGCCTCAAAGAGAAAATAAAGAAGAAGAAGATATATCCAAATTATTGGACTATCATCTTCAATTCATAGTATTAATGTCTTTCTATTTTTATTTTGGGTATAAAGGTATTTAGGTCAAATGGTAATAACAATGATTGGTTTCTTTTTATTGCAAGTACATGAATGTAGTAAGAAGCTTTATTTTAAAGCAAACCAATTACTCCTATTTAACTAGCAAAAAGTCCTCATAAAGTGAAGGGGTTGGGGATTGATTACCTTTCTTTTTTTCTTTATTGAGCAAGCACATCTTCTTCTTTTTAAAGCGTCATATTCGGTATTTGATATTCGTATAAAAACTTTTATTAATTTAAATTTAGGTATAATAATTATTAAAATAGTATCCTATCAGAATTTTTCATATTTAATTAGACTTTAACTTAAAATGTCTAATTAAAAATAAAAGGATTTTATTTATTTTCATCACAGGATTATAGAGAAGACATTTTCAGTCCTATATATTTCAATTCCTTATCTTTCGATTCAGAAATGCATCAACGGATGTGTTATCTTACATGATAGCTTAGATACTAAGAAGTAAGAACTAAGACTCACGATGTATTGAGCATTCAAAGACAATCATGATTGACAATGAATTTGACTATGCAACGAATAGTACACACGTGTCATACATGTAGATGAATTCGCTTCAAAATGGTTTGATTAGACTGATATGCTAATTGTGAAATCAATCTAGATAAATTGAAAGAGTAGCTATAACTATAGCCCTCTATTCAAATACCCTTTCTTTTACTCGAACCTCAATATTTTTTAATCATCCCTTTGATGATTAAAAGCGTGAGTAAAATTGCAATCGTAGATTATAATAAGCAAGTGTGGAGCGAGCAAGGGTCGAAGAGAAGGGAGGGGTCATCCAAATCTCCTTAATGAAAAATTACACGATTGATACGTGATTAAAATTATATTTTAATTATACGTGATAAATGTTGAATTTCATTTAACCTTTCGTGTATTTATTTTTTATATTTCGAACTCTTTCAAAAACAATTCTTACTAACCACCAAAAGTTGCTATAAGTTTCCCATGCTTTAGAAAATCGACAAGTGTCTCTCCAAAAGTGGTTATAAAAGATAAGCACTAGATTAAAAAAAACATATATTTACATAAGTTAGCTGTTAACTTGTGGTTATTATCTTAGCTACCTCACTAGGTATAGGCTGTTCATTGAAGCAAATCAGATCAGCTTTTTGATGTCAATGTCAATCCATTTAAAATGAAAATAATATCCATTTTGTCATGTGTCATCACAATTATTTATTATTATTATATTTCTATCAATAGTTATCGTATCTATTAATTTCACCATTATAATTATATTGTTTTATTGTTATTACTATAACTATCAGACACTACCATCAGTATGATCAATTATCTCTACAAACCACCTTTTCCATTACAATTAGAACCATCATGAACTACTGTCAATACATCATCAGCCAACACACAATCTTTCAACTACTATTACAATCACCGCTATCAGTCATTACCACCAGTCCACTACTATATATATATATATATATATATATATATATATATATATTCTACTATCAATTATATACATCATCACAATTAGCATTGCTGTCAACCACCATCAATACATCGTTAATCATCATACATTCTTTAGTTATTACCATCAACAATACTTACTATCTACTAACAACAATCAACTTTACAATCACCACCATCACTATCAAACACTACTATCACGTCAGTTACTGCAATACTAATAACTATCTCCATCATTATAATTATTAACATTATCATTACTAATCATTAATACCGATCATCACCACACCACCCAGATTATATCTGTCATAACTAACAAACATAAATATTTTTTTTTGAAAAATATAAAATAATAATTTAATTTTATTAAATTTATATTATTTCTAATACTTAATTATTTATTTATTTAAATTTTATACTTTGTTATGTCTATTAATAAATAAATTCCTCATTCTGGAAACCAAATAATTTTAATCATTTTACTATTTAAATAAAAACAACAGTATCATCATCATTCAAATATACGTTCAAATTTTCTCAACCTTAATAAAAATAAATAAGGTGAATCTGATTTGATTAAAAAATTGTTTTACCATCATACCAAAACTCACTTGACTATTTAAATAATTGATTAGATACTATCCAAAAAAAAAAAAAAAAGCTATCCTTGAGATTGGACATCAAGTAGAGAAGAATAAAGATAATGAAGAGTATCAACATCGGTACGGAATGAGGTGCAATGGTGAGATTGTTTCACCCTTAATTTGAGGTCTTGGGTGCAAGTTCTATATATGAAAAAAATCTTGTTACAAGTGCCATCTCCGAATGAATCCTACAGTGCGTGATTCAAATTTAATCGAAGTTTCAATATGAACTTTGAATGTCAAATAAAAAATCCAAATAAAATAAAATAAAATAATGAAGAATATTCCATGGATGTATTAGCAAGTTTGTTTGGGCCCTACTAAATCCCCTTTTAAGTTAGCATGCGTTGAAGGTGGATTATCTTTACACTATTTCTTTTTCATTATAACTTCAATATACCACTAGTTATAAATTTATTAAATTATTGAATAAAATACTAGATTTATTCTTGTGTCACTCTTGCGTCATCTAGATACTGATTTATAAATTCTGAGTTTTATTTCATTTATTTCGAATAGTTTTCATGTTTTATATATTGAGAGAAATTAATTAATTTTTTAGGGTTAAAGTAAAATTAATATTTTAAAAGTAAATTTAAATATTTAAAAAATAAAAAAATAAATTACTATAAATAATTTTTTAAAATATTAATATGGTGAAACAATATATTTTAAAATATTTATTAAAATTTATGAAGTTTGATTTTAAAAAAATATGA